AGAGGGGAAGCTGATGCAGCAGCCAATTTTTCTGTCGATTGCACAACTTTCCTGAGACAAAACTGAGAATGTTCTTTCTGCTGTGCTCTTTGGGATCATTTGAGGATGTTGCACGCTCATGTGAGCAAGGCTGGACCTGCCGGTTGGCTAATGCATCCCCTGGCTCAGAGAACATCTCCATCTCTTGCTGGTGGAAGCTCACTGTGAGCTTGGCGGTGGTTCGGCGGCACGTGAGGTGACCTCATGCTCCCGAGGCCGGCTGACAGCGCAGAGCTGGAGGGGCTGCGAGGGTGTGCGGTGCCCTGCTGATGCCTCCTGCGGATCGTCGTGCGTCGGGTCGCTGGAGAGGTGTGGGGAGATATGCTCGCAATATTTCCACTTCTTCATTTCGTTTGGTGTGTCCTTTGAAAACAGGGAAGAATCGGAGGCTGAAGCAGGCGAAGGAAGAAGCCCAGGCGGAGATTGAGCAGTACCGCCTGCAGAGGGAGAAGGAGTTCAAAGCCAAGGAAGCGGCGGTTTGTGTTCTAGACCACTCACTGTTACCTACCCAGCCCCTCAGCCTGGCCTTTGGGGTTACTTGCCCTGAGAGCAGCCCTCGGGGTGGAATGTCTTGCTGGAGGAGCGTTTCCCTAACTGCTTTCCTCTGATGCACAGCCACGTGTCACGGAAAAACTAGTGGAAGTGAATCAGAACATGGTGTATTGCGTCTCAACAGGCAGAACCGTTGGCTGGCAGTGAAGTGGCTTATTAAGCTCATGTCCTGGCTGGTGCCCTGATGGGTGGCAGCCTCCCAAAACGGCGCGTATGTAACGGCGTCAAAAAAAGAGCTGGTTTCTGAGGTGCTAACGTGATAGAAACCGCTTGCCTCGTAGATGCTGCTCTCTTGCTGAAGGAGTTGTAAGGCTTGTGTTCTGCTTAGCAGTCTTGCCTGCTGTGTGCCAAGGGGTGTGTTTTCCTTTCCCTCCGATCAAGAGGAGGTATTCCCAAAAGGCGCAGCTGAGGGCTGTAGCACAGTCAGGATGTTTCCACTGTTGGTGTGCCCCTGTCAGCTCTGAAATCTTCAGAAAATGACCTGGCAACGCTCCCCTCTACCCATCTTCTGGTTAGCATGGTACCACCTCCTCTGTTCTTCTGCACAACAGCCTCCATGTCAGTAGGTCAAGATTAATTTTTTACAATCACTTGTTAGCTGTGTTCACTGGGCATATGATACCAGCCAGTTCCAGACTAATAAACTGGACTTCACTGCCTGTCAGTTGGTTCTGGTTTATTTATCCCTCTCCAGAGAGAGAAGCTCTTTGGATTTGAGTCCCAGTCTCCTTCAGCGTAGTTTTCCTGTGCCTTTTCCCCCCACTTGCAGTGGCAATTTGCGCTCTCTGCCCTTGCTTATGGGGCAAGAAGGACCCTGCAAGCTGTGAGAGACTCCTCGCTGTGCCTGTTGCGGTGCCCACAGTCCTGTTAGGAGGCAGAGCTTTTTATAAAGATTCTCCAAGAACAGAAGCGATGATGTGAAGACTATGCTTAAACTAAATCATGAGTACTACTTTTCTAACAGTATCTTGTACAGTAGTGCCCAGGGCGTCCTGGTTCCAGTCACCAGTAGAGCAGGACCTTTATTTCAGGCATTCTTTAGAAGCCCATGCTCTAAACTGATAGGTAATGAATGAAGAGAGGATAAAAGGCATGGGCAAGTTTATATAAATATTTTTAAATATAAACTGAGCAAGTTTAGTGGGAAATCTCAGCAGAGAATCCCAACAGGACTTTTTTTTGCTGCAGTTCTTCCCTCAGCCAAGATTAACAGCTGAGATGCAGTGAGGCAGCCTGGAATAACACAATCCAGAGCTAGGCATAGCGTTTTCTGTGTCAGACTACTTGCATCTGAGCTTTCTCCTTTGCTATTTGTAGGCACTTGGATCTCATGGCAGCTGCACCACTGAAGTTGAGAAAGAGACCCAGGAAAAGATGAGCGTGATCCAGCAGAACTTCCATAAGAACCGTGATGTGGTCCTCTCCCAGCTGTTGTCACTAGTGTGTGACATCAAACCTGAAATCCATGTGAATTACCGCATCAATGGGTAGTAGAGGAAGAAGGAAGAAGCATACTGGAAATGCTGGTAGTAACGTCTGAGCTTGAGGTGGAATGTACAGCCCTTAGCCATAGCTTCACTGTTCTCCCTGTATATGTGTTAAATTATTTCAGTGAGTTGCAAGTCGGCGATACCTTGTTGCAGTTCTGTTACTTTCTCTCTTGATACGGGTTCAGAGCTTATTCAAACTTTAAATGGCGATGTCTCCAATCTGTGCTAAGTTATTAAATATGTATTCAAGTAGGCACGTGAATGCTCCCTTTTTATCTGGATAGTGTTCAGTGAGACGCTGTCCTCTGAAGCAGAGAGAGAGATGCTGGCCAGGTTTAAGCGGAGAGCCTGTGTCAGTAATTTAGACCTGTGTAACTGTATTCTGGTTGACCAAAATGCATTTTTCAGTGTGTTGTTATCCTTTATACAGGGGTTAAACCTTGTAAGAAGAATTCTCTGACTGTATAGTGTTGGCTGATAATTTTCAGGTGCTTGAGTTTCTCTGTATTGAATATCCTCTGTATATTCTGCTGTTAGCTTGAGTTACAAGTCTGGCATTATGACACTTGAAAGTAAAACCACTTATTTAACTCCAGAGTCTCTAGTCAGTCTTGTTGTTCCTGCTAACTTGTTCCGAGAGCACTGGCAGGTCCCGCTCTGTTGCATGGTTGTCTGGACTCTGAAGAGTGAGTATCAAGTATTGAGAAAAGCAAGAGTAAGAGATACAGCAAATGTCTGAAGGTCACAGCAGGTGAGGTAAGGTAAGAACCCATTACAGAGCTCCTCCTCTTGGCTCCAGTCTGATGCTTTACCTGCCAGATCATTCTGAAAACCTCTCGGGAACAAATGTTCTTGTGACCATTAGGGGAAAGAAAATGTTGCCAGTTCACCAGGATAGTTTGATAGCCAGGTGCTGTGCAGTAATTACCCTTCCTTTAGTCAAGTACTGGTCGCTGCTTGTTTGTACCAAGGTCGTACGGTATCCTGCAGCATCCTGCTGTACCTGGGAACAGTGTGAAATACGTGCGTGGGGATTGTCTGTGCATCGCTTTCTAGCTCTTTAATGAAGAGTACACACAAGTACATCAAGAGGCTTCATGTTTCAGCGGTTTCTTCCTTTCCCTCTCTCACCAGCAGAATAGTAAATGTAGCTTTCCTTTTTTTGTTGAGTTCAGTTTAAGGCTTTTTGCAGATAAGACCTCAATGAGCACGTACCTGATCAGACCCAAGAGTCATACAGTTGGGGATCTAAGAAAGAAACATTATTGACGCTGTTCCTCAGGCAGAACATCCTAGATTCCCACACACCCTCAGCATGGCATTGAAAAGCCTCTCGGACCTCTAGAGTTTAACTGTGGTTGGGAGGGAGGAAAGCAGGATGGATGAAAGTCGTAACAAAGGAACGAATGGCTGCCTGCAGTCCCACGGGGCAAGAAGAGAGCAGACTGCTGTGGTGTCTCCTGGTGTAATATTTTACGGAAGCGTACTGTAGTTCTGAAAGGGTATCTTCAGGAATTCAAGCTGTTAAAAGGGCTGTAAAATTGAAACAAAAGCTGCCTGCAAAGTCAGAAGTGGCAGGCTGGGGAAGAAGCCAGGTCGGTACAAGGAGAACAGGATCAAAGCAGTTTTAATCAGTCTGGTCTAATGACGGAGAGGTGCTATGGCCTCGTAAAAGGTTGTGGCCATGCTAATTGTGGTCTGTCCTTTGGAGAAGGAATGTTTCTTCCCCTTGAGAACAGGTGCTCAGACTCCAGCGTGATACTTCTCATAAAAGTCCTGCTAGCTCCAGGCTGTAATTAGTAGTTTCATCCCGCTTGTTTATCAGTAAATACTGCTGCGCTGCCCAGAAAAAAATACAGCCTGCGCCCCACTTTCGCATATTGGTTCATAAGTTTCCCTTTGTTAATGAGCACTTTCTATCCTTACTCTCTAGCACAGTAAGAGGCAGGAGAAAAGGAAAAAACCCTTTCCTGGTTATTTCTGCTTGGCAAAAGGTGAAGACTCTCTCTTTAGAGCAACGTGCTGCAAGAACATACATTTTTCTGTAATATTTCCCTGAAACAGAACTGTTGAGAGTTATCTGGCTCCATAACTTTGCACAGAAGAAAGTCTTTCCAATTACTGCTCTCCAGGAAGGATGGCTTTGTTTGGAGTGTGGATAATTTGTTTTGAATTGAGATTTTCTCATCTTCCACTGTGAGGCCCCGGGAATGGGAGACCTGCTGCTGTCTTCGTGCCTAAGCCAGAAAAATACTCTGCAGGGAACAGTCTTCTACTGACAGAGGTATGGAGTTTGGGCACACAGCTGCTTGCCTCTGAAATCTGATTTTTCTAGATTTTTCTGCTGCAGGTTTGCTTGATCAGAGTAAAACCTGCACCAGCTGCTAGTACAAATTGGTGTCTGAAGTCTCCCTGCTGCTGGTCTGCCTCCATCCCTCGGAGATGTGGCCCCGTGCACAGGAGCCATAGCTTGCCCTTGTACCGCAGGAAGGGCCAGAAGCTGCTTTGGGCATGCACACTGCTGTTTGTTTCCCTTAATTTGAGCTCTCACCCCTGGAAATACCGGCCGACTGCCGGGACGGTCAGGGTCCTGGTGCTGTGGGGAGGTAAGAAGTGGTCAGAGCTCGTGTCTTGTTCGGTTCGTGCCATGCCAAGGGAGTGGCTACTGCTGTTCATTGCTCCTAGTCAAAACTGTTTGCAAATAAGCACTTTCCTGGGATCAGTGCAGGCACATTAGGATTTACACAGCGCTGCTTCGCTCCAGTCACGTCCATGTTCATCCACAATGGTTTGTGCTTGATTTTTGTAGAATTACTTTTCAGACATTATCTACGTGTTTATGGAGTTGATACATTTCACTGGTAAAACGCCACTGAGCAGGCGTGTCACCTGTACCAGCACCAGATGGACAAACGGCTTATGAACACCAGAGCACGAGTGTCACCTGGGCGGCTTGACGTGCAGTACGAGCTACAATTGGGACGCGCGTTTGTGCTGCTTGAAGCCAGAGTTCAGTTTTTCAGACACGTCTGTGTTGGCAGAGCTTGCTCCCTGCTTAGCTCGTGCTGTTCGCTCTGAAGGTCGACATCTCCTCGCTGCTGGCTGTTGAAGGGCAGTTGGAGAGCTCAGCACCCCTCGGGGAGGGGAGGCAGAGGGGAAATCAAAGCCCGTGATCCTGCCCAGGTCTGCCAGCTCTGCCTAATGATGCTTGATATTTTTTTTGGTCAGTTCAGAGCTAGTATGGGTTTGATGCCCTGCACATTTTTGGCAGCTAAATCCCAAAACATGCAAGAAGGGTCTAGCACCGGGCAGGAGGGATGAAGCGTGGTGTGTACAGGGAGGGAAGGGAGGTCCCTCCCTGATCATCCACAGCCTGGGTGATCCCACATGGGCTGCAGAAAGCAGGCGAAGGGCAAGGCAGTGAGCGCTGCTGGAGGATTTGTTCGGTGTGGAATGGCAGGGGAGCCTGCTGCTTTCTGCCTCTGGTTCGTGGGGCTTCCTGTGACACAAGAGCAATATCATTGAATTATTTTTATGGGAGCATTTTGTGTGATATTTAACTTGTAATTTTTTTCTTTGTTGCAGAGAAAGTAATTTTCCCCTCTAGAGATCCCCCTGCCCTTTTCCCTTCCTCCCTTTCCAGGGTCTGAACAGAGAAATAAAGGAGGGCAATCCCCCCCAACCCTGTATCTGGAGTCCACGAGTTTGAGAGAACTTTCATTCAGAGGGGAGCAATTTTGGCTGCCAGTGCTTTGTCAGAAGCTTCCCAGGCAGCCTAATCAGGGCAGCTTCAGAACCACAAGAGAGGACCCAAAACTCTCCCAGTGCCATGGGTACTGCTGGAGGTCGGTGAGCCATTCCTCGTTCTGCTTTGCGGTGACAGGCTGGCTGCTGGATGGTCCCATCAGTATGCCTTGTACGAATTGTTCGAGGCATTCCAGTGCGTAAGTCCAAACTTGACCACCTTAAATTGCTCATTTTTCTGTGTGAGGTGCCTACACAAGTCCTGATGATCTTTAATAAAGCTGGGGATTTTTTAATGCTAGCTATAAGCCCACCAAGCTGCTGGCAGTCCCTCTCCCCTCCCTTCCATCCGCAGCGTTGGGCTCTGCTCTGTTCCCCATCCGACCCCAGGATGAGTGGGGTTAGCTGGCTGTAAGTAACCCTACAGAAAACCAGCAGTTTCTGGCCTGCGAGGCAGCTCGTGGGAGATGGGGGTGGTGTGGTGGTGTGTCCCAGCAATAGCTGCTGCAGAGCAGCTGGGCTCAGTCTTATGAAATCACGCCCGAATTTTGGCTGACCTGAATACTCCCGTGCTCTCTTGCCGTTCTGGGGTGCTGTCGCGCAGTCCCTTCTGTGGGTTACAGACAGCTGTGGGAAAGGCGTGCTGTTCTGCTTCCTGCTCTCTGTAGGAAGCCTGCTCCTGTCTCCTTTTTATTTGTTTTCCTCATCTGGAGTCTCTTTCCC